GGCTAAATCATTCTTTAAAACAAATACATTTCCTTCTGTATATCTTGCTTCAGCTAAACTTCATTCTTTCTGTTATTGGGAGATATTTCTACAGCCCAACATGATCATATTATGTGTCAGGAATATTTCATATATTATCAAAGCATATATATTACTGGAAATCCAAATTATATGGTATTTCTCTGGAATTTTAGAATTTTGGACATTTTAAACATGCTGGCGAACAAGATTAGAATATTGTTTGTTTGTCATAACTCCTGCAGGCTAGTCATAAAAGAGTTTAGAGAGAAATAGTGTTTCTAACCTTTTTAATAATTAAATTTGGCTCTAGTGTGAATAACAGCATTCTGTGATGTCATGCTGGCCACACGACCGCGGAAATGTTTTGGACAGTGTTGACTCAACGTCCATTGAAAGGGAGATGAAGACTTCTCCCTTATAGTCAGCAACCACTAGCAGAGTAAAATCTGCAGGGAGTCCTTTACTTTTTACCTTTAGTGTGAATAAATCTATAGTTCAACTAATCATTGTATTTGTGCCCAAAATAACTGCATGTCAGGTTAGCTTGCCTGTTGTTGCTATTACACATTTTTTATCTGTTTTGGATAATCTGATTTAAAATTATAGCAAAAACTGTAAAGATAAATAATATATCTTCACAACTTATTTTTTGTAGCCAGTAATAGCTCTCCCTATTCACTCTATCATGTCAGAATAAGGTTGACAACAAGCGCTTTCGATAGGAATAGGAATGACAGCTTTCATTAACAATGAAGTAAAATTATTTTCAATCTTTTGGCTATGTTTTTAAGAAAATAGTTGGGTGATTATTCTCAAAATAGTAAACGAAAACCCTGTTAAGTTACATGAGGCCTTCATGATGAACTAGTAAACATATCTAGTTGTATTGAATATATTCAGTGGAAATTACTAAACTCAGGTCTGTCTGTATATATATATATATATATATATTACCAGGTGGTCGTTCTCGTTACCGCACAAGTAATTCATCCAACAATCCTAATTTGATGTACCAGGAGGAGTGTGAGCGAAGGCTCCGGGGAGTTAAGGACGGCCGAAGAGACTCAAGTACTTTCCGAGACCGTGAGCGCACTGACAGTTTTGCCAATGGAGCCAACAAAGCCTATGGTGGTGCTTATGGAAATGCAACTTCTGCATTTGGGGCACAGCAAAGCCAATATGGTTATGCCCAGGGAGCCTATGGAACTGCAGCTTATGGAGCAAGTGGTTATGGGGCAGAATATGGTGCTGCTGGGTATGGGGCAGCCAGCACTGCTAATGCTGGGAGAAACTCACAAAGCACCAGCCAACAGCAATATGCAGGGATGGGCCGTTCAGGCCAGCAGCCGCAGCCACTCATGTCGCAACAGTTTCCTCAGCCTCCTGGCACCAGTGTGATGGGCTATATGGGGCAGACTGCCAGCTATCAGTATCCTCCACCGCCACCACCCCCTCCTCCTTCACGCAAATGAAGCCACTTCATTTAGTGGCTGTCAGTCAAGATTGCAACCCTTTCTCACTTTTTCTGTCTCTTCCCCTTCTCAACTCCATCTCCATTGTGATGTTTTTCTTAATGCAGGTTAGCTTTAGAGTTTACCGTCCAAATTCTGCCCACAAAAATGGTACATAAATTGATTTTCTTTCTAAAAAGTAGTATTGACTGGAAAATTAATTTCCTTATGCATATTTTGGCCTTGCATTATGTAATCTGAAATTTTCTGCCTCAAAATGAAGAAAGACCTACAAGGCAGGTTTGTCCCAGTCCAGCTGTTATTGTGTCTGAGGCTTGTGTATGAAAAGTTACTGCGGAGAGGACTTCTCTATAATATAAACATCAAAAAAGATGGTGCTAAGTAGAACCTCCTTTTTAATAGAATATTAAATATGGTGTGATTTTTGCTTACTGAAATTGAGACTTAGGTTTTCTACAGCTAATGAAATGAGGCCTTGGATTTGGCATAGGAGAATTTGGGACAATAATTTCTTTGGTTTCACTCTACTTATTCTTTCAAACGTTTACAAAACATAATTTTGAGTTTAGCATTTATGCAGCTCCTGAATCTCTTACCAGTCCTAAGCATAAGGGATGTAAGTGTTGGAGATTAATGTTCTTTTCTGTTGCAATGCATTTTCACCTTAGATGTAATCACATAATTGCTATACTTTATTTTTATTGGATTTTTCTGTGGCTCTTAGATTTCACCCAAGATATCACAAATGACATCTGCCCCATAATTTCAACTCTGGGGTTAAAGTTGTACTTATAACAAAATGTATATCTATAAACATGAAGAATCTATACAGTTCCTTGATGTTCATCTTCTGATCCATTTACTTGGTATCAAGATTCGTCACTGGACATGCGTGAGATCCCACTGCATTAAGCAAAAGGGTTCCATTTTTCAGAATTATTTTAAGCTAAATAAAATCTTAAAATCTCTTAAAGGGGTGGTGAGGAGATAGCTAATATGTCTTGAAGCTGCATTTATATCCAATCTGACTAGGCTTTCCAATGGCTTTATGAGTGAGTTTGTTCAGCTGGCTCTTATACTCAGCTTTTACAGGTAGGTAGCACCCTAAATTTTAGGAAGAGAACTTTAGCAAATGCTTTCATTCTTGTTTTTTCCCCAGTCTGAGAAAGGTGTAAAGTTGAGGGTGTGGGGGAAGGTGGGATGGGATTATTCAAATATTAAAGTTTCTGTCTTGTAACTAGCAGGAGAAAGTTGATAGTAGTTGGTTTCACCTGTTATATCCAGATAAAACATGGCAGGAAAATCTCTTCTGTCCTAAGGGTCAGAATCTATGGGGTTTTTCTTTTTCTTTTTTTTTCTTTTCTTTCTTTTTTTCTTTCAGTTTTGGGAAACAGGTTGTTAAAACAACTGAGTTATTTATAGCAATGTGGGTTTGACTTATAAAAATGGGATTTAAATACATGCTTAATAAGAGCAGGCTGAGAATAATAACCACTTGTGTGTCTGTGCACATCATACAGGTAGGTTGTTGGTACAGACCTTGTACAATAAAGGCTTGCTAGTTAAAACCTTCTTTCTCAGTTTGGTTTCCATAATCATAATTAAGATATATATTTGGCAGTTACCTTCATTGAAAATATTAGAAATGAACATTCATTTACTGAACACTGCCTGATTTGTATTTCCTTTCTTAATAAAAACATCATGGAGCTGCTGTTCATGCTGAAATGAATCTACAGGCCTAGAGGAGGGGGGCAGAATAAATTCTTCCCCATTGTCTTTAAAGAGATTTGGTCTTCATCTTTGCCAATAGAAAATTGTATTAGGGCCTCACAGTGTTGTACTGTAGCTTGAACATATAATTACAGCTTGATGTGTGTTGTGCTCAGACTGAGCATTAACAAATAATCGAACTCTGACATGTACAGCTTGTTTCCACTTATCAGTTTAAAAATGGCCAATTGGTAATAGTCATTATTTGCTCAGTAAATATACCAATATCCAGCCTATATTCCCTTTTACAAAAGTCATTGTGTAGGCTTTGTTTAGTTAAAAGATACAGATTCTTAAAACCCTGCAAGCTTCTTAGGTTGAATCATTGGGGACTGTTCCCCCCCCCCCCCCCCCAAAAAAAAAATACTGGTATTTGAACACATTCCTGTTCTGTGAATAAAGACTTGAAAAGAAAGATTCATAGCTCTGTGATGTTCAGGCACAGTATATTAAAAAGCTATGTTACTATTAGTTTGTAAATTGTCCTTTTGATACCATCTTGTTTTCTTTTGTAGGTATGAATAAAAACACTGTTGTCAATAAAATTCAGAAATCTTGTTTTTTATTTAAAAATACAGTTGAATATTTAAAAAATGTTTTCTCTAATCCCTTGAAGGGAACATTGATAGTTTAGGAAAGAGTGTTAGGTCACAACTGTTTTAGTCTTTATAATCATTTGAAATTTAGCTTAAGCTTTTTAGAAAAGGGTGTAGCCATTATAGAGGATACAATGGTTACATCATCATCTGGTTTCTTTAATTTTGAAGGAATGCTTCTTTACAAAAATACAGAAATGAGTCATCTTCGATGCTAAATAGTTAAGTTCTGAAATGTTAGTTACTTAGATTGCAGTCCCTTTGGTGCAATGTTTTCTAATCAAAATATAAAGAAAAAGACATATGCTCTGAATTCAAATAGTGACATGGCAAAAGAGTCCTTGAATCCCGAAACAGGGGCTTCATCCGCTTTCTTCTGTGGTGCACATCTTCATATAGGCATTGGGAGACTCAGTTTCTTCCCTTTTAGTACTAAAAGAAGAGGAAAAAATAGCTCAATAGTAGAAAGCAGTGGCCTTTTAGTTAACATATTTTTATGCTATACAAAGAACACTTAATGGTGTCTTTAGCACAAGAAAGTACATTGATTTCTGTACAAAGTATGCTAAGATGAATTGTTTTTTTACCTTACTACTCAAAGTAATATTTAGCAATCCTAGCATACAAAGATTGGGGTGGGGGACAACACAGTATAATTAGAAGTTAATATACTTTTTATCTCTGCTTGTGATTTAAAAAACATGATTATGGAAATTCCCTCCAAAATCCTGCATGTGCATTTTTTGTTAAAAGTTATGAATGAAAAAGTACAACTAAGGTGATGGGAAAGCTTCTAGGTTCACAAACTATGTGACTTCCCTCATAAAACAAATATTCAAATAATCAAAAACAAAATCACTGTGATTGACAGCTCTCTCAAAGGTAGCTTTTGGGGGGAAGAGGTATTCAAATTCGGAAGCAGAGCCTGCTGTCTGTTTGATTAGGCCCAGCTGAAACAGGTTTTGACAGATTTTCCCCAAGGCAGGAATGCTGTCCAAAGTTGGTCCAGGAATTCTAGAACCCTGTCCTTTTAAATTGCTCATAATCCAAGAACTAACCCAAACCTGTGACTCGTGCCACAGGAGATAGCATATCATAATCCATTTAAAATCTTTTGGTGATCCTTACCTTTGGTGATATAGAGATAAAAAAAGTCACAATAGAATATTGTCTGTACTACTCCAGAAACAACAGCAATGTGATCAAAGAAGTCTTCTGTGTAATAACGCCAGATCCAATTGGCAAGGTAAAGTGCACGATAAAGGCCCAAGAAGAAAAGGTAATGTGTTGTGATTGTCTCAGCTTCGCCTGTTTTGCTAATCATAAAAAGTTGTGGAAGGATAGCCACAGATTCTAGATAAATTGAGAAAGTCCATAGTATCTGAGGAAGAACAGTAAATCCAAAATAAATATCCAAAACATTGACATGAAAAGTTACAAATATGCATAAGCTATTTAATAAGTGGTTTCAGAAAGCTGAGCTCCCAAAAATATGGACATCGTATTTAAGCAGAAACAAATATCTTACCTCTAAAGAAGTGAATTGGTAGTTTTCTAAAAATGAGAGACCTGTGACAGGAACCAAAAGGAACTCAAGACGGAAAGAATCCTGTTCACTGTCAAAAGTTTTCCGGAATTTTCCATAGATCAGGTACACAGTAGCATAGGCACAAAGTAAGAAAATAACCTACAGAGAAATAGAAATCATTGCATGCTATTTCTTAGAACTTCCCTGTTCAAGGGGAGCTTCTCATAATTGGTCACTGACACTAATTGGACACAGAGTGGTAGAACTTCCACTATTTAACATCTGATGAAGTGAACTGGAGTTCCAGAAAACTTTTGGGCCCAATAAAGTAAGTTAATCTTGAAGTTCCTACTTGACTTTATGTTACCACAGAGTAACCTGGCTTTCCCCATCTTTACTTAAAATTATTTAACAGTTAAGAGAAATAGCTTTCCATAGGTTTCCATGTCATGCAAGTTCGGGTCTTTTCCCATGTAAGATTAAGAGTATCTTGGCAACGTTTCGGCGAGGTCCCACTCGCCATCCTCAGGCTGGTGCTTTCGGCTTGTGCCAGCCTGCTTGAACTGGCACGAAGCCGAAAGCACCAGCCTGAGGATGGCGAGTGGGACCAAAAAACCATTCTGGCAGAGCAGTAGGCTAGCCCCAAATTTAAAACTGAAACGGCTGTGAAAGCCTGACTCACAGACAAACACAATACAGAAGCCTGATGATGGCAGTTGAGATTCTGCCGAAACGTTGCTACAACTTTAAAAGCACAACTATAATGACGTGGGAAAATACCCGAACAAAGCTGAATACTATACATGTAATACTGTAATACTGTACATGTAAGTACCCGCGAAAACTTAAGAAAACAAATTGTGTGTGTATGTATGTATGTATATATATATAGAGAGAGAGTAGCACTTTTTAAATCTCAGAGATTAGTCCTGGGATGCGAGTGGCTTAATCAGCACTGCTAAGAGAAAGGTGTACCTTGCTGCTCTTTCATTATTGCCATGGAAATGGGAATTTCTGCATTACACCAGCTGCTTTCTTCATGAATAGGAAGCTTGTCAACTTTTCAGTCTTTTTTTATATGTCTATTCATGCAGGAAAGCATTTCTGTGTATTTTGGGAGTTTTAAAAGTGTAGAGAAATGAAGGGTATGGGGACTTTAGCATAACTGAACTTTTGGAAGCTTGAGGGCAGATTCAACTGGTAAATTTGGCAGTAGGAACGTAGAAATAACTTGCAGCTTCCCACTTTTATCCCACTGGGATGGGAACAGCTAGAGAAAGCAAAAACATCTCTAGTACTGACCCTTTGCTGCCTGGGAGTTTAATTGTTTAATTGCAGTTAAGTTAGTAAAAGTGAACCTGGCTCACTCATTGACTTGTTTCTCAGAAAGTTACCAAAAGTGATCCCATGATTCCAGGACATTGCAACTGTCATAAATATGAGTCAGTTGCCAAGCATCTGAATTTTAATCAAATGACCTCGGAGATGCTGCAACAGTCATAAGTATAAAAACCATCACTAAACGAACTTGTTAAGTCAAAGACTACCTGCATATAAATAATCTAAAATTACAATGCCTTCATTTGGAAATGGGAGGGGGTATTTAGCTATCCCTTACTCAAAATGGGCTACACTGAAATAATTGCATGACTTAAAATATATGAATTACTCAATGAGTGAATCAACTAGCTTTCCCCCCCCCTCCCGTTTCCTTACCTTCATGATGGTATTGTAAAAGGAGATGAAGGTTGTGAAGAGGTCAAGGTAACGGCTTGTGAAAACAAGTGCAAAGAGGATCTGACTCTTTCCTGAAATACCTGCACATCATGAGAAATGAACAACAAAGATAAAGAAACCAAGGAAAGGCTGTTTGAGGCTTTTTAAGCCTAGATGCAGATTACTTAGTTGGCTGTGGGAGGCAGCAACTGATACCTGATGCCACAACCACCGAAGAGAATCCTCTGAGACCAAAGCAACAGTTTCTGTCATGGAAAGAGACAGTAGCAGTACTGCACATTCAGTCAGGCAGTTGAGTAGTCCAGCCCAGGCCTCCCAGGTTCACATATTATTCTATTTTGTTTAATGGTTCCAGTTGCAAAAGTGTGTTTCTTTAAAAAAAAAAACCAGTTCTTTTTGCAAAGAAGCCTTCAGAATTCAGAGGAAACTTGGCAATTTGAGTTATTTTGAGTCAAAATGCACTGATGATGTCTCCTCGAATGGTGACGAAACGTTTGCAATCAAATTGCTAAGCTTGGAGCTGAAACCAACAGCCCATCTCTATTTTTAAGATTTCTACATACATATCTATACAGTATGAATATAAAAATATTTCAAGAGGAAAAATCACTAATTTATCTAAAAACTATACTAATGTCTACCTAAAAGCAGTAACATCAAACAAAGCTTGATACAAATGAAAGTAGCTGAAAATAAATATTAGAATCATCTCTTTTTTAGAAGTATAAGACACAGTAGAAGCTATTAAGACTAGTGATTGTCCCACAAAACCTCAGTAAGACTTAGCTACTTCCCACTACAAACAGACTAGTACTAACAATCTTTTTTAAAGACAGAAGAATGCTCAAGTAAGAGCTGAGAAAATTAACCTTTTAGTCTTGATTTGGAGCAATGATTTCTGGGAAGTTGTTTTCAAAAGTGGTTATACTATACAACATGTTGAAATAATTGAACCATGCTGCCTTATTTTGGGAGGGAACTACATCAGGATAATTTAAAAGTTAAATGTTTATCCAGAGTACAGGCTGTACAGGCCTTGGTCTTTTATCACAATAGAATAGTCTGCAATTGTAAGGAGGAAGGAATAGAGTTGGGCTTGATTTGTCTATATAGAGAGCCTCTTTTCTGTGGGTACCTCTCCAGCTCTTATTCACATATAAATACACCCAAAATGTCAAATGTTTCTATTCTGTCTGAGCAGGGAATCATTGGATAATTCCAGTGATCTAAAATCTTGTACATTTCCAAAATCAAATACTATTTATAAAAGAGAAAAAGCGTGGATGGGTGAATCAGCAAGTTGAAGACAAATTTTCAGACATTGTAATTCAATCATTCAACTGGCTGACAGGTTCTATTTTTTTCTATATTTCTCACAGTGTCACCGTGGGGCTGATGAAGAACATTTGAACATTGGTGATGATCCACCCTAATCAGTTACAAAATTTTCATCTTGTTTGGGTGGATTGCAACCAAATTATACAAGGGGATACAGCACCTCAGTATGTATTAGAAAGTATACCTTAAAATTGTGCCTATAATTTTTAGTCTCAGCCCAACTGAAGTCCACAGGATTTTTTTTACCATTCATTCTGAACATCCCAAACATCTTTGAATATGTTTCGCTTCTCATCCAAGAAGCTTCTTTACCTCTGAGAGCTTCTTGGATAAGAAGCAAAATGTCATTAGAGAAAAACAAGAAAGTCCAGTTACCTCTTGAAAAAGCACCTTTGGGACAAATATGTCCTGGATGACTGATTATCTCCATAGACATTCACTATAAAATTAATGGAAAGTCCCATTAATCTCTCTCCATCCTGTTTTCCATTCATCCAATCCCTCTGGAGGGAAAAAAACTTACAACATAGAGGACACTTACTTTGGAGTAAGCCTCACTAAATTCAGTAACAGTAAAATCAGTTCCTTAAATGTATGTATAGCTGAATTGAGCATATACCTCTATCATTCTACTGTACAATTTTCAACAGTACCCAGTATCGGGATGTTGCAGTCCCATTAGCCCTTTTATGTGACAAGCACTTGTCTTTTGTGCATTGATTGGTGTGTGTAGGAGGTGGAGCTCTCGCCTCACAATCAGGAGGCTGTGATTTTGACCCTAGGTAGAGGCTAATATTTGGAATAGGACTGTCCTGCTTGTGCAGGGGGTTGGACGAGATGACCTCCAAGGTCCCTTCTAACTCTGTTATTCTATGAGGTCTATGAGGTGAAGAGACAGAGCTGGAAAGACACTAGTGTTACATCTGTCTTTATTCACCAGTGGAAGTAACCACCCCATCATCCACTACTTTGTTAACCCTCCTTGGATATTCTTTCTGAGACTTCATAAAAAATTCAGTACATTGAATGGGAAAAGAAAGATTCTGGAATATATTTAAACATGCAGGGAGGGGGAAAGGTGTTTTTTTTTTTTTTTTGCCTTTTTGTTACTACTCTGATTAGATTCTCTCTTTTTGGAAATTTGAAATTGGCTGGTAGCTTCAGAAAAGCGCTGGCATAAAATGATTGCAAATAACAATATAAGCAAAACAGGAAAGGAAAGCAATCTATTGTAGAACATAGAAAAGAGTAGACTAAGTCCCTGAGAAACGATCATTTTATGAGCTGGAGCAGTGTTTTCCAATCCTAGCCACTGGGTAATTGAAGTTCACACATCTTAAAGTCTCAAAGTTTGAAAACAGGGCTAGAACATTAAAAAAAAGTTCTTACAAATGTTCAAAGTCAACTTATTTATTGTACAGATAAGTTCTACAAGCAATCTGTTATTCTTTAAGATGCTACACGATTCTTTTCTTTTTCTCTCTCTAAATAGTTATTCTGGTGACCTGTTTGGATCTTACTGGGGTTTCTTTCCCATTGCTTTGCCTCAAACACAACAATGAAGGCCTTAAGTAAACTTTTAAAAATTAAAAAGAAGACACCTAGATGGAGGGTTGAGAAGGCAACAGGGAAATACAAAAACAAGAGGAATGCTAACGCTTAATCCAAGCTTATATGTACTGATGTATTTTAAAGAGAAAATGTGTCACAGGTTATCTCTGGGTCTTTGACAGCACAAACATTCTAGTTACTGAACTCAGGGGACATCACACCTGGTCTTCCATCTCTGCCATCCAAAGTGAGGGTGGGGGTGTTGCAAAAGACTAGAAATTCACCACTTATAATACTACATCTAATTTCTGAAATCCATCAAGCAAAGGCTGGGGCAGGGTGGAGGGTTAGGGAGACAGACAATTAGAAAAGAATTCGAACTGCATGGACATTGGTGGAAATTGGTTACTGCTGATGCTTGTGTCTGGAATAATCACTGCAGTTGCAGACATTCGAAGTTTCACAGTCTAAGTAGAAGAAATTAAAAGTGAATATTCCTATTAGTGCATTTTTTTTTCAATAATAGTGACTGTGGACAGGTATGCTCTATAAAAATAATCTGAACCGACAAACATAATTGTCTCTGCTTATTTAACCTCCTGTAGTATTTGTTATCAGAGGCGTACGCATCAACATCAGAAACTATACAATGTTTGCATTATATAACTTCATAGCACCACTTCTTCTAAACACATATTTCATTCTCAGAATCAGGAAGAAGATTGGTGTGATAGAGTGGAATAGGCTTGCAAAGAGGAAGCTGGGCATAAGGTTTTTCCCCCTACCCCAGGTCTAGGAAATACAGATTGTGGCAAAGGATGAAACAGGTGAGAAGAAATCAAGAAAGTTAAGTTAACTGGTATGAAGTTGGAGTCTTAGAAACTTTTTTCAGGAATACGGTATAGGCTTCAGTGCCTGGACTAATAAAGATGATATTGTTAAAATGGAATGTAATTTAAAAAATTTCATAGTTTTTATCTACATTCAAGATAGTTTTTTTTTTAAATATAAAAACTCCAATCAATATTGGCTCCACACCAAATATCAAAAAGTGTGTGTGTTGCTATGGTAGTAAGATTTATACCTCAAGTTGCAAACACTGTGGAGACCAGAAGACGGGGGCAAGACTTTCAGAAAGGTGGACAGGTGGAGAGCTATTCTGCCTTCCTTGCATTCCCTTGGCTAGCCTGCTGCTGTTAAGCATGTTGGAGCACAACTTTGTGAGCTGCTCCTCCTGTTGGTTCTGGCCCTAACACTGGTAGACAGAAGGGATGCCATCTTTTTGCTTGTCTTAGGCTGCAAAAGTTCTTGACTAAATTTCCTAGTCTTCTAAATCAGATTAAATGTGTTTTCTTGCCTCCTCCTCTACTGCAATAAAAAACTTTTATCTAGATTGGGATAAGAAGAAATTTAGTTTTGTTCAAGGAATTACAAAGTGCTGCTGAGCTGAATAACTCATTTCCTGATTTCCTTCCCATATTCTTTATTCCATATTTATTCCTCTATGCTTTATTATAACAGTGTGCTACACATCTAGGATGAATGTCACCCCAACAGCCTAAGGCTAAATCCCAAATCTGACACTCTGTGGTCCATTTGTGTTCAAGTAACAAATTTCTGGCTGGCCTGCCATTTCATATGGCTTTCTCATCAGTTTCAGCAAGATAGAGAAGATAATAATGATAATAACAATAAAACCTACCAGAACATGACTTTGATTTCCAGATTTTCACTATCAAAATGATCATAGCTAAGAGATGAGAGACATCTCCAAGGATCCGAAATACATTCATGATGGCCCAAGAATGTCCTACAGGAATCTGAAGAAAATCAAGGGAATGTAAATTGAAAAGGAAGATGCCGATTCTCCACACTCAAAGGGGCTGCTTCTCCTCTGTCGGCTTCCGGCTTAATGATCCCTTTTCATTAAATTTCTTTGGATGTGCCTGTTTCTAGGTGAAAAACTCTCTCACAGCAGAAATCTTCAGAAATATCAGGCATGGAAGTTTGAAATTAAAACTTGGTTGTACTCTGCATAGACCAAAAGAAATTCCTTTTACATTCTTCTGTAGAAAGTTTCTGCCTTCTCTGAAACTGATCAGCTCCTCTCAACCAAGTAATGGAAGAACCTTAGAGAACAGCCTCGGTGCAGGCACTGGGTGACGTGGCGTAGATGCTGTTTGTACAGAGAGGATGGTGGAAGGAGGCGGGAGCAGCTGCTAAGCCAAGTTAGCTAAACTTTCTCTTGCATCCCTTGACTTCTCAAGTTACAGCTTGAAATGTCCTTAAAGGGAAAAAGGCAGGGAGGAGGCAGATGACTTTCTAACTGGGGGAGGTGGGCCAAGCCACTGATATTGTGGCAATGTAACTAGCATGCATTGGCAGTGATAGCCCAGGTTCCCTTTGGAACAGCTTTCCAGGAGGAATCCTTTATTTGGACTCATATTTTCCCCCTTCCCACTACCATTTCTTGACCTGCATATGGATTCCTTCTTCCACATCTACAGCTTTTCGGGTACACAAGGGACTGTTGAGGATCTGGAAAGAGTGCAGGGAAGGATGGAAGAAGCTTACAAGCTAAATTCCACAAAGAATAGTTAAAAGAACTTGATGTATTTAAACTAAAGAAGAGAAGATTAAGGGCTAGGAGTGCAGCATTTGAATGCATAAAGGAATATTAGAGGGCAGAGGGCGTGGACTCTCCATAGCACCTGAAGGTAAATACAAGACTCAGTGGTGGAAGCTTTACATGAGATCTAAATTGAAACCAGTGTTTTTCAACCTTGGCAACTTAAGAATGTGTGCAAATATGCTGGCTGGAGCATTTTGGAAGCTGAGGTTCACATTCCTTCAAGTTCACAAGCTTGAGAAATACTGTTTTGAAGCAAAAAGGAACTGTAAGAATTCCTGATGTAAGAATTCAGAGGTAGTGAAACAGCTTGTCTCCTGAAGTACTACCCCAAGAAAAGATTGGGCAGCCATTTGTCTAGGAGGGTATGAGGATTCTTGCACTTGTCAGGGAGTTGGATTAGATGACTTCCAAGGTGCCTTCCAATCCCATGATTCAGTATATTAATGAGTGCAACCCAACTCAATTCACTGTAGAATGTAAAGGCACCCACGAATAATCCAAAATATGCATATATATTTTAAAAAAACAAAAAAACTTTAAATTTAAAAAGACTCCTCTTAGTAATATTGGGTGGAGGGTGCTGAAAAATAAAGTAGGATTTCAAAAGATTGGTTTGTAGAGCAGAGTAGAATTCTTTATTGGCCAACTGTGATTGGACACACATGGAATTTATCTCTGGTACACAAACTCTGTTTACAAGAAGTGATAAGTCATAGATCATAAATCATAGTTACAATCATTAATCATAAGATGCAAACAACAAGTGATAAATCATAAAGTACCAATGGAAGAAGATAGTAGGAAAGATGAGAAGATGAGAAAAGATGAGAAATTAGAATATGAGGAGGATAATAGCAATACACCCTAACTACATGGGTAA